GGAATTGCTAAAACAACTAACAATGCCAAACGTTGGTACAGTTGTGGAGCAACTAGAACTCCCACACATGGCTGGTGGGAACCAAAACGTGGCAGGGACTTTGCGGCACTGCTGGACAGGAATCCACTCCTAAGCAGTCGCACAGCCAGACAGACGCATCATGTGAGCAGTATGCCCAGGTCAGGCAATAAGGTTGTAATTTCCGCAGAGAACTTTAAAACAATTATAAACCCAACTGAAACGTGGTCCACTTTACATCACCACAGTGCACTGGCAATTCTAAGCAGTCTCAGTGATAAAATGTGCTCATCTTCTGGGGTGAACCATTTCCACCTCACCCTCTGATGACATTTGCCCAAGAGAGAAAAAGGTGTTAACAAAAATACAAGTATGGGAATGTTCACAGCTGTTTTATTCATTATAGCCAAGGACTGAACGCAACCCAAATCTCCACCAGCAGGAGAAGGGATAGACAAATTATGACACACTAACAAAATGCAATAGTACGGTACAGAACAAAACAATGATTCTAAATGGATCTCATAAACACTGCTTCGTGAGAGAATCTAGACAATATATATAAAAGAGTACCTACTGTAAGACTGACTGATTGATTGATTCAGTACTGGGAAGGAAACTAGTGCCTTCACACTGAGCTATCGTCCCAGCCCCTTTTATTTATTTATTTTGTTGTTGTTTTGAGGTTTTTTTTTTTGTTTTGGGGGGGCAGGTTTGAGACAAGGTCTCACTATGCAGTTCAGGATGACCTCAAACTCATGGCTATCCTCCTACCTCAACCTCCAACATGCTGGGATTACAGGCATGCGCCACCACACCTGGCTTTTATTTTTTATTTTAAAACAAAGTCTCAATAACTCACTGCATTACCCAGGCTGGGCTCAAACTTGTGATCCTCCTGCCTCAGTCTCCCAGAACGCTACAATTATAGGCCTGTGCCACCATGCCTGGTTTACACAGTTTTATTTCTATGAAGTTAAAGAACAGACAGAATTTAATCCGTAGAGGCAGAAATGATAACAGTGGGTGTCAGTCAATGGGGGAGGTATCAATTTACCTGAAAAGGGTTGGGGGGAACTTCCCTGGGTGTGGAAATGTTCTACATCTTGTTTGCTATGTTGGATACGCATGCCTGGGTCAAAATTGTTTTAAATTATACCTCAACTTTTTAAAACATCACCTCACCTCTAACACTCAGGACCCAACAGCCTCCTCAGTGGGAAGAGGAGTGCTGAGAGGGGCAGGACGGGGAGGCAGGGCACAGCTGAAGGGGTGTACTTCCCATGATGTTGTGGGGTTTCTCAAGAGTACTGAGTGCCCCAAGAGGAGGAAGCACAGTGGCCCCAAAGGGCCTTGCATTGCTCAGCTTTGCATGACTATAATGAAATACCCAAGGTGATTAACTTACTAAGAGAAAAGGTTTATTCTGGCTCCACTGTGGAGTTTCGAGTTGCTTTGGACCCAGGGCAGGCTGCACCTCACGGTAAGAAAGTGTGACAAAGACATGGCTTTGTGGCCAGGAAGAAAAAAGGGAAAAGAAGAGAGAGGCACCCAAAGTCCTACCATCCCCTGCCAGGGCATAGTGTCCCGGTGTCTCTGTCCCTGTGGCCTAAGGACCTCCCGCCAGGCCCCACAGGTCCTTTCAGGGATGCTGTGCGAGCCAGAGCAGGCAGGGTGGTGTCTTTTCTCCTGGCAGGCCAAGGTGCTGGGCTGGAAAGTGAGGGGCTCCACCGAGGGCCAAGGGCTCATGGCTCAGACTCACCCCACTTCCCAGGGTGCCTTCTCTGCCAGCCCCCCAGCCACACCTGTCAGCCACTGGTTCCCACCGAAATCCTGTCTCTCCTGGAGCCGCTGCTGCACCCAACCCAGCTCACCCTGGGCCCTGTCCTTCCTGAGCCATGCAGCATGGTGAGCGATGGGCACCCGCACGTTCCTGCAGCCCCTTGGGAAACTGACCGGGCTCACTGTCCCCCGCCAAGCCCAAGCTGCTGTGCTGGGGGTACATTAAGAAAGAACAATCACTGCTGATTATAACTGTGTACGATAGAATAATTCAGAGATGCCAAGAGATGAGAAAGAGGAGTAGCTAGGAATCCGTGCATATGTATTCTTAAGCATCTACCCAAGCAGTGGTTCTGAGAGTGTGATCCAAAGACCCTCGGGGTCCCCAAGACCATTCAGCAAGTCTCCAGGTGGGAAGTATGTTTGCAATATACTAATCATGACTCTTCTGTTCACTCTCCTTCTGTTAGCATGCAGTGGGACAACCCCGCCCCAGTGGCGACGGCATTGCTTTAAAGGTCAATGGGATATGTATAGTTTGGTGTTTTACATTTCTTCTGAATTTGAGTTTCATGTGTGGGAGGCCCTGGGAACTGAGGGCAGGACCTCCTGCGTGCTAGGCGAGCGCATACTGCTGGGCTACACCCAGCCCGCTCGCTCACACAGGGTCTGGCTCAATGGACCAGACTGGCCTTGAACTTGGGAGCCTCTGGCCTCCGTCTCCAGAGTAGCTGGGATTCCAGGTGCACCGCCACGCCCAGCTCTGAGATTTAACTTCTCATAGGAAATGCTGACAGTTGTGCTCCACAGAGGAAAAAGCTCTTTGCTTAAATGTTTAGGAATCGCTGTGCCTGGCACTTCCCCAGTAGGGACTACGGTCAAGGAAGAGAGAAGCACCAGGTGGCACACAGGCGAGGCGGCCTGCGCCAGAAGGCCTTGCCGAGGCAGTGGGCCCACACCCGCTCACCTCTGGCATGCAGATGGTCCTGTCACCTGCCAGAGCTCCGCCCTCTGCCAGCTCCAGGCCCTAGGTTTGGTCATGCTCATTTCCTGCCACCCTCCCGGGCTGTGATGAACGAATTAACGTGTGAAAGGACTAGGAAGACGAGGGCTCACCGTCAGATCCTGGGTGGCAGGAGTAGTTCTTGGGCATCTCTGTTTTCTGCCACAGAGCTTAACACAACGCCTCGCGCACCCGGGGGATGGGGAACACAGCAAAGGGGACATGCTTTGGTGGGTGCTGCTCAGGTGCGCAGCAAGTCTAGAAGCTCGACTTCCCCGGACCCCCTCCTCCAGATTCACATGGGAGCTTAAGGTGCTGGCTGACAAGAGTCCAAACCACCTTCCTCTCTCGCTCTGGTCCAAGCCAAATTCCCCCCCCCACCCCCCGTCTCTTCCAAGGCCTCTTCCGCCTGCCCGTCCCCTCGACCAGTGCCCTAGGCTGGCGGCCACACCTCAGCGAGACCTTCGTCCTTCTCGCCTTGTCTGTCCTCAAGGCTGCTGTCCCCAAGATATGCTGTCCCCAAGATCTGAGCCAAAGTATGCTGGCCTGGGAGCTGGGCACTAGGGGCCCATACAGCCCCCCAAGACCTGATGGGTAGGAGGACAGGCCGGCAGAAGGCCGTGCACTGTCCCTGCCTTACACGTGGGCCAGCAGCAGAGACAAAGCCCGGTTCGAATTGGGGGCCGCGGTCCGCAGCCCAGCCTGCACGAAGGACAGCGAGGAAAGGTCCAGGCAGGTGCGGCACCGAGGGAGGCCACAGCTGTCTGGATCGTCCCAGTGCTCATGGTGCTGTGCGGGGACAGTCTTGCCTGGAAGCTGAGCCTCCGGCCCCAACGCTGTGGATCGCCTCCCCACCCCACTCCTCCCCATGGCCTCCTGCAGTGGCCCAGCGGGCAGCGAGGCAAGACCTGCCTTCTAGCGGCAGCATGCACCACCTGGGGCGCCCGGGTAGCTTTCACAAGAAGGAAAGGCGGAGGGTTATTTAGCAATAGTACAGGCAGGCAGACAGGGGTGGGCCCTTGAGAGGGCAGTGCAGGAGACAACTGTGGCTAGGCTCACTGAAGGCCAGGCCTGAAGAAAAGAGGAACGACTCCGCTGGCACACTTCCCCTGGGGACGAAGGGCCGCAGACTGATATTCTAAACAGCACCAACCGCCTTGGGTGGGGACCAAACCTCCGTAACCCGCCCCTCCCAGGAGTTCTTGTCCCTCCCACGTGTCCCACATGCACTTGCTCCTCCATTTGATCCCCATTTAATCAATATTACCTGAGGGACTACACTTGTTGCGATCTTATTGGTTCGCCATAGTTTTGTCCCACCTCACATTGCCACTATAGTTGTATTATTTTTTGTTTTTTAGTTTTTTGAGGCAGGATCTCGACATGTAGTCCAGGCTGCACTCTCGATCCTCCTGCCTCAGCCTCCAGAGTGCTGGAATTACAGGTGTGCACCGCCACACCCTGTTTATACTTGTACTCTTATTAGTTGACTATAGTTTTGTCCCACCTTGAACCTGCCTCACCTCATGACTCTGCTCAATAAAGCACCCGTGAGAAGCGACGCCATTGGGCAACCCACTTTCCAGACCCACTTCTGCCTCTCCTAGAAGCTTTTTTCTTTCAATAAACTCTTCCTACTCTTAACCACTGCTGTTTGTGGAATTCGTTCCTCAGTTTTAGGGAACACGAAATCGGCGCTTCCGATATCTAGCAGGTTGGGAGTTACAATATTTCCCTTAATTATTTGGAGGTCGGTATATCATCCCTATATCACACGTCCTATGACAGGGGTAAGGAAGGAGGCAGGATGAACTCTGAGCTCAGGACCAGGGCGAGCACCTAGCACGGGCCCTGCAGGTCTTCGCTGCGCCAAGGACCGGTGGGAGGAGAAGGCCTGGGAGCTGCTAGAGCCGAGGCTCTCCATGGGCTTGGAGACCTCGTCGTGACGCCGAGCAGCGGTGTTGCAGTGTGGAGCTGGGCTGGAGCGGACCGTGCAGAGGGAGTGGGCTGGCGGGGGACCCGGTCCTTGAGAGATGCGCGAAGGAACGAGGGAGCGAATGAATGGGTGGATGGATGTGAGCGCGCCGGCGGCGGGGCGCGCAGTCGGCCTCCTGCGGGCCCGGGGGCGCGCGCGCTGTGGGCGCCAGGGCCCCCCGGGGGCGGGGCGGGCTGGGGGTGGGGCTAGAGGCCTGGAAGCGCCCGGGATCCAAACTTCCGGTGCCTGCAGCGCGCGGATCGCCACGGCTCCGAGAGGCTGCAGCGGCGGAGCTGCAGGGCGGACGCGCGGCCGGCGCAGCCATGGTGAAGATCAGCTTCCAGCCCGCCGTGGCCGGCGTCAAGGCCGACAAGGCATCGGCGTCCGCGTCCGCCCCGGCCCCGGCGCCCGCCCCGGCCGCGGAGATCCTGCTGACGCCAGCCAGGGTGAGCGGGGCCGCGGCTCAGGCGGGGGGCGAGGGCATCGGGACGGCCCGGGGCGCACGGGGACGTGGGGAGCCTGGAGCCGCGAGCAGAGCCGGGAAGGGAGGCTGTGATGGGTGAGACGTCCATCCCCAAGTGGGGACCAGGCTTGGGTTCTGTCCTACAGCGTCTGCCCAGAGCAGAAGGTCTTTGGTCCCGGCTCCTTCCGTGGGAAAGCGCGCAAGCTCTCCTCCCAGAGTGGAGGGGCCCGGGGGCGCCCGGCTGCAGAACCTGGGGCCGGGGGCCGGTGCGCGCTCGTGCGGGAACGCCGCTCGGGGTTCGCGTCTGGTTCCAATCAATGGGGAGGGACGGCGAGTGCAGTCCCCAGGTGGGGGATGGGAGGCGGCTTGGACGCCGCTTCCCCAAACTAGGGCGGTGGGACCCGATTGGCCGGAGAACTGGTGGGGGAGGGAGACTAGTGCCAACGACGGGAGAGGGGTTATTAAGATTTCCTCCCGAAGTGGGGAGGGTGTGCTGCTCTTCCTCCCTGGAACTGGCAGGCTAGAAAGTGATGAAATGGAAATAAACCAGGACAGGACCGGCCGCGCCTCCGTGGAGCCGGGGGCCCGGGCCAGGCGCTTTTGTCCTCCGCACCCCTTCTGCGGCCTCCTCCCGGCCCGCCCCCTCCTCCCCGGGAGGGGACCCCGAGGCGCCCGCGGCCGGCTTTGTGGGGGCGCGTCTCAGTGTGCCCCTCCTGCGCTCAGAGCCAGGGGATGGGAGACATTTCCGCCGTGGAAAACTGGCTGCGCGGCATGGAGTGTGACACGGAGGGGCCCCTGGGGACAGGACTGGGGCGACCGTCTTGTGCAGGCACATCCACTACCACCCCCTACAGGCAGGTCTCAGGTCAAGTTCAGTGGCTCTGATTCCAGCCTGCCCGGAGGTACGCAGGGGCCTGCTGTGGATCCCCCGGCCGTGGAAGAGCTGGAGAGGGGCCTCCGAGGTGGGGGAGACCCTGGGTGACGAACCCCATTGCCCTGAGCAGCGCTCCCACCACCTGTGACAGTCACTGCCGCAGCCAGCGTCTACCTAGACAAGATTCCAGCGACCACCCTCACCCCAAGCCTGGATGGGGAGGTGCGCTCCACATAGAAGACGGTGGTTTGCAGCTTTGAAAGTTTGCCATGGGCTCTTCAGCCCTTGATCGCTTTACGAAGGGAGCCAGCCTCCTCTCTTCTATCCTCCTTCGGAGGAGGCGGGGCCCGGACCCGTGAGAGCGCAGGTCTCTCCCCAGCCGCCTCAGGCAGGAGCAGGCACCCGGCTAAGAGTGGGAATCTTGCCCCTACTGCTGAGAGCCGCGCGGTTTGGGCAGGAGGGAGGACCAAGCCAGACAGTGGGGCCTGTAATTCCAGCTCCATCAGCAGGTCCTCGACTATTTCCTGTCGCCTTGACCTGAGGATTTTAGTGTATGAAATAAACTAGCAATATACAGATTAGCAGGAGGAAGAGCTGCTAACTTTTTAGCATGTATAAGCACGGAAGCATACACAAAGTGAGACTCCGAGGAGAACTGGTTAAAACCAGACTCAAAGGTTGGGGCTTTTACTAAGAGCCCCCAGGCAGTACATGGTCACCTCCTCGGGCCCGGTGTCAGGCCGCAGTGTTGTCCTAGACAGCTGGGGTGGAGGGCTGGAGAAAGGCTGTTTTCATCCCTGTACCCGCTGTTCCCTTCGGGCTGAGATTCTGTATGCATGCAAATCTCCCACAAAGGGACAGCTTTTCAAAGGCAGTCCTCGCCTGAGGCCCCTCTGAATAGCCATTTGGAAATATGCTGTAGCGGCCTCTTTGGGGGTGGTCTGTTTTGATCTCCCTTGCCCACTTGGCCTGGGCAGTAACTGGCATCCAGCCTCCGACTTTTATTGGCCTCTGAAGCGGGGCAGCCTCTCTTGCCCTAGCCCAGCATGAAATGGAAATACCAGCATCTTCGTGGGAGCCAGCTGAGTGCCTCCCCCACACCGCTAATGAGCAGTGCGGAGCCTGAGCCCCGCGGTCAGAAGGAGGAGTTGGGGTCCCGCTCCTTGGCCACAGAAGTGTGTGCTGGGTGCTCGAGCAGCTTGCCCAGGCCCTGAGCTGGTGCAAAGCAGCCTGCGGGTGTCTCACCTTGGCTTTGCCCATCGCCACTGGACCAGGACACTCGGACACTTTGCTCCCTGGTGCTGCTCCTGTGCCCAGCCCCGCGCCTGGCCTCCCCTCCTGCCCCAGCGTGAGCAGGCGGGGAGCCCGTTTCACAACTGTAGCTCAGGACAGTGCCAGCCGTTGCTGGGCACCGAGAGATGGGCTGGGTGGGGGACAGTGAGAGGCGCCGGAACCTGCTTGGGCAGGGCAGGGCAGGGCAGGGCGTTGGGATTTTGTCTCATACTCTTGGTGAGGCACAGGACAGCTTCTCGGGTCTCTTCTGGCCGGTGGTGACTCTAAAACACTTGAAGTCTGAACTGGACTCGATGCTAAGGTGTCTCAAACACGATCCCTAGAAGGACCACGCGAGGGGCCGAGGAAGGAGCCAGAACTCTTGGGCAGCCACGACCCAGCTACTGAGCAAACCCTGGAACGAGGGGGATTTTGTCCCCAGCCCTGAGGCTGAGAAGAAGTGCCTGGTGGGGCGGCGGTGGAGGCCCAGCTGGGTCTTCAGCCGCGTGGTGTTTGGACCCTGAGATAGTGCCGAGCCCACGCCCTCACTCCTTCCCTGGGAGGCCCAGGGCAGCCCTGCCCCACAGCCGGATCCCCTCCCCACGTTCCACCTGCATGTGTGTGTACCCGCATATGCACAGGCGGGTGTGGGCATGCACAGACTCACAGGTGGGGGCTGCAAGCGGAGAGAGACGTGCTACCTACAGTCGTCTCAGCTCTGTACTTTTCTCCTTGACATTTGCCTTTGATTAATGGGCCCTGCATGACCCCCTCCCCCAGCCTGCATACCTGCGGATCCGATTTCACTTTCCCAGCCTGGCCTGGCCTCGGGCCCTTGGCCGGAGGCTCGGTTAGCGGAGGGAGGGCGGATCTGGCCACCTCTGACGCCTGTTCCAGGCCCCAGGTTTCAGAGTCTCCCCAGGGCAGGGCAGGGCAGGGCAGGGGCTCTCCAGGCCTGGCCAGGGGATTTTCGGCTTCTCTGATCCCTGCTTGGTTCAAGGTTGCCCTCCTCCATCTGACAGGACGGGTTTTTCCTAGTACTTGTGTTGAAATCACAGGGGCACCTCTGCCTCCGCCGCCAGGCTCCAGGCTCCGGGCTGTCTGTCATTCCCAAGAGTGACAGCTCTGGAGACAGCCTGCTGGTCAGGGACGGAAGACAGTGCGCGTGCAGAGAGCGAATGCTGCCCACAGGGCTCGAGTGGGGCACAGGAGTGGGACCCACTCGTGGTGAACCCCCAGCCCTGTCAGCACATGGCCACAGATGCAAGTGACGTCAGTGCTGCTGGGCCTCCGGGCTGTGTGCGCAGGGGCACTGGGCATCTGATCACCTGTCACTCCCAGCGGGACGCCTGTCCCAGACACACTGATGGGCACCCCGCTCCCAGCTGGAGCCTGCAGCCAAGGAAAGAAAACGAGACAGCGGCGTTGGCGGTAGGGGATGAGACCACTCCGACCCCAGGCGGCCCGCAGGTGTAGTTTAGTCCGCTTGTGGCTAATGTGGACATTGCTCTGCAGGGACAGCAGCTGGTGGGGGGAAGCTCTCCAGCGGAGGGGTCTGCCAAGTTCACCCTCAGTTGGTGGCTTCCTCTCCAGTTTGCCCCCGGCTTTGCTAAATCCTTTCAGAAAGCCAGACATGGTGGCTCACCCCTGTAATCCCAGCACTGGGGAGGCTGAAGCAGGAGGATCGTTGCGAGTTCAAGGCCTGCCTGGGCTACAAAGTGAGCTCACGGCCAGCCTGAACTGCATAGTGAGACCCTGTCTCAAAAAGACAAAAAGAAAAAATCCTTGCAGAAGCCCCGTCGTGGACCCCAGTGAAGCCTCTTCAGGTCCCCAAACGTCTGGCTCACATGCCCAACACGAGTGTGCAAGGAGGCGCTTTGCTCCAAGAGCCCGTTGCCTTGGAAACACTATGCAGATTTTCTTTCTAACCGGAAGCCCCAAAATGCCTGACTGTTGCTAACTGCTCCCCTGGGGAGCAGCATTTCCTGGGGCCGCCTGGCAGCTCCCTGTTGCCTGGCAGTCCTCAGACCCTGCTCCCCGCGGCTCACAGCTGTGGCAGGTCACCGCCAGCAGCCAGGGCCTGGGAAGGACGAGCGTCGTAGGGCTTTGCATTTGAGCCTTGACCTTGGTGGTAGCATTGGGTCCAGCAGGCAGAGGCAGCACTGGGCCTTTTGCCCCCAGACAGGGACACTCGAGGTTTCCTCTCACACCTTCCCTTCACTGCCAGCCCCGCTGCCCCATCCTGGGGCTTCTCAGGACCCTGCAGCCACAGGGGCACAGGCTGGTAGGTAGCAGGGGGGCCTAGCCCTGGTGGGTACAGCAGGCCGCAAGAGAGCCCTGTGTCAGCGAAGACAACTTCACGCGTTCTTCTTCCATCTGAAAGTTTTGATCATCTTAGTCTCTGAGGTGAACTGACAGGAAATAGACGGGCACGAAAAACAAGGGAAGTTCATTACCTGCTCAGGCCCGGGAGCCACGTACATAGTTTAGTACCCAAAGAAAGGGCCGCAAGAGCTGAAGCTTGAACAGTATCGTGAGCCACAGAAAGAAATAGTGGCTGCCGGGATGTGGCCGCCTCACTGCAGGGATCAACGGTTGTCTCCACCGCAGGTCTCCCTAGTGGCAGCCCCCGGGGACACCCTGCCGTGAGCTGTCCCTGGAAGCTCGTCCCGGCTGGTATGGGATCTGAGGGGGCATCGGTCTGCATCCTCGCTTACCTTCCTGATGCAGACGTGGGTGGATGGCTTCTTCCAGAGGGCAGCTCTCCTGGCTGTGCCCTCATCTGCGGAAGTCTGCAGTTTCTCCGAATAACCCCCTGGAAGCATGCCAAAGATGTACACCGGGAGAGGGATATTTTGATGTCCGTCGTCAGCCCTGGCCATGAGAGGATGTAGAGGGGTGAGGTGGGGGATCCCCGGCCCTCGCAGAGAGGGGTCCCGACCGCCCTTCCCAGCCACACCCGGCCAGGGCCACCGAAGCGCCACCTCCTCCCCCACCTCCCTTCTGGGCTTCAGTGATCACTCCGGACCCAGCGGGAGCTCAGAGGCGCCATGAGGAGGCCGCCCCGTCCATCCGGGCATTTTCCCAAGCTGGCCTCTCGGTTTTCTAACATGCAGCAACAGTAGCACAGCCCCAGGGCAGCCTCAACATCTGTCTGTGGGGCCTCCCTAAAAAGGAGAGGCCTGCGATGGAGCTGCTATTTTTATCGGGTACTTTATCCTCTGCAAAGGCCGGCAGGTTCTTTGTCTCTTTTAATCCCAGCAAAACCTCTGCTGGGGTGGGAAGTAGGGAGGGGAGGCTGCGGTGCCCTGCTGGGCCCCCAGACTCTAACTAACTTCGGGCTTTGGAGGGCACTGTGCCCCCAGGCACATGTGGGCCCCTGGCAGGTCTGGCTTGGCCACCTTAAACTCTGCTGGAGACCCCTGGGGGGCAGAAGGGCCACACCGCCGGCGCTGGCTTTGCAGGAGGCCCTGGTGGCTTGCTCCTGCGAGACGCTGGCAGAGCCTGGCCGAGGGTCCCCTGTCGCTCACCGTGGGGGCCAGGAGCTCAGTCTGACATGGCCGTTTCCCATTTGGGGAAATTGAGGCCCAGTAAGTGCTGAGTGGCAGAGCCAGAGTGAGACTCTCCAGGCTCCTGAGCTGGAGCCCCTGCGCTTCCCCACAGCTGCCTCAGTCTCGAGGTTTGCACATGTAGGGACCGTACATGGGCCCCAAGGAGGGTGGTGTGGTGGGCACCCTGGGCAGAGAGCTTTGTAGATTCCTGGAAGTCTGCTCACCCCTGCTGGGCACCACGGAGAAGGGGCTGGGCACAGTGGGCAGCGTCTGTGCCCAGTCCCTCCAGGCCCCAACGTTGCAGCCATTGCTCCGGCTGTGGGGCAGGTCTTGCCACCCCCCAGCTCCAAAGCCTTCGCTGGCTGGGCCCCCACCTGCTGGGCGCACCCTGACTCCTGTGGACTCCTTGGTCTGCTCTGAGCCCTGAAGCCACGTGGAGGGAAGCACAGGGTCGAGCTGACGTAACGAGGGCTGAGGAGACGGGTCCCGGGATCGCGTCCAGGCTGCTGTTCCCAGCTTGGAGGAGGCTCGGTCCTTCCCGATGATACGGCTGTCTGTCCTTCCGTCCTTCCAACCCCCCGGGCCCCACCGGAGGGTGGTCTCCCTTAGGGAAGGGGGGATTTCAGGGGACGGGCCTGCAGCCTAGGGCACCTGGCTGACCCGGCCCTGCTGTCCGCAGGAGGAGCGGCCCCCCTTCCACCGCCCCAAGAAGGGGGGCTCTGTGGGCGGCGTGTGCTACCTCTCGATGGGCATGGTCGTGCTGCTCATGGGCCTCGTCTTCGCCTCCGTCTACATCTACAGATACTTCTTCCTGGCTCAGGTAACTGACCGACGCGGCGGCTGTGAGGTCCCTCTCACACCGCCACTCGGGGGCGTCCTTGCAAAAGACTCAGGCCCCCCAGAAACTGGCGCCCTGTGGTCCCCTCCAGAGCTGGGGCCCTGTGCCTCCGAGTCCTGTGTGCCGGTGGCCTGACTGCGCCCCGCGTGGACGCTTGGGTTACAGACCCAGAGAGGCAGAAGGGCTGCTGAGCAGGAGGGTGGGCTGCCGGGGTGGCCGCCTTACCCCTGCTCCCAAGCCCTGGGGCTGAGGCAGGGCCGCCTAGACCCGGGGAGAGAGTGTCACCACATCTGGGAACTGAAGGGTAAGCGGGGAATCTCCTGGTGACCAAAGGAGGGACTTGCCGGCCACTGCTGACCCAAGTGACTACTCACTCCAAAGCATTTAACTGTCTGTTGTCACCCAGCTTTTCCATGATGGAAATTACTGAGGTGGTGTGTCCCTGGGGCTTTCCCCAGAGACCTCAGCTGGGCACCTCCCACGCCCTCAGGGCTTCCCCTCCGCTTCCCAAGCGTCCTGCTTCCCCTCTGGGGGGCTGTCCTGCCTCTTTCTGTCGTGGCCCTGGGACCTCCAGCTCCTCCCTGTATCGACTCTTCCCAGCCCCCCGCACACACTCTGGGGGCTCCTCAACCCGACTCCCGGGCCGAGTGGCCCTCAGAGCTTCCCCTGGGCAGCTGGGGAGAGCTCGGCAGCCACCGCAGGGCCAGCCCTGTCCCCTGGGCCCGTAGAGTCAGCCTTCCTCCAGGGAGAGCGGCACGGGACCCAGGCGGAGCCGGTGCCGGGACAGGCAGGCGCGGAGGTGGCTCTGGAGCCCGGCCTGTGGCCTCTGCACGCCCTGCCGCGCCCGTGCGACCCCTGGTGCCCGGCTGGGCCGGCCCGTGCGGCTCGGGTTTGCCTGGGGGCCCCTCCGTGGAGGGCATGGGGTGGTCGTCATCTTCCGGCTGAGGCCAGGAAGGACCTTAGGCGCCACATGCTTCAGCCGGGGACACTGCGGCTGAGAACATCCTCCGCCCGGAACACCCTCTCCGTCTGCGCGGCCACGAATCGCCTTCTCCACGCCTCGCTCGCCTGCTGTGGCTCCCACAGGCCTTCGGGCGAGAAGCGGACAGGTAGGCGGCGGTGGCCGCGCCGATCGGCCTCACCGTCTGTCTGTCTCTCCCTCTCGCCCTGTCCAGCTGGCCCGAGATAACTTCTTCCACTGCGGCGTGTTCTACGAGGACTCCCTGTCCCAGGTCCGCACTCGGATGGAGCTGGAGGAGGACGTGAAGATCTACCTCGAAGAAAACTACGAGCGCATCAGCGTCCCTCTGCCCCGGTTTGGCGATGGGGACCCTGCAGACATCATCCACGACTTCCAGCGGGTGAGGCCGCCCTCGGGCAGCCAGCAGCTGGCCAGGAGCCGGGCGGGGAGGTGGGAGCGGGTGCCGGGGTGTTTATTTCTCACCTGTGTGTAGTTGACGTCTGTGACTACGGATACTAGACTTCCGGAAACGCTGCTCTTATTACATAGGTGGTGCCACCCTCACTGGTGGGGGGTTTTCTCTGAAGGTGGGGGCCCTGGGCCTTGTGTCTGCTCGCCTGTGATGGCGGGGGGCACCCACTGTCAGGTGCCCCGCATGCACACTGGGTGGATTTTTGTGGCTTTCTGCATGGCACGGGCAGGCCGACGTCTGGGGCCTTGCCAGCAGCCTCGAAGGTTCCCTTCCCCCCAAGGTGCCTGTCCTCCTCTGCCACTGTTTTTGAGTCCACTGAAGCACAAGCCCAGCCCTCTCCCCCAAACTTGCTCCCCAGAGCCCAGTAGGGGTGGTGACACTAGCGGTTCACCCCATGTCCTGGGTGTCCTACGGGGGCCTGGGATGGAGCATCTCTCACCGACGTCCAGGCTGTGACGGGGACATCAGACCTCAGCTTTGACAAATCTCACAGGTGGAACATAACCATGTGCCCCAGACCTCACCCGGGGCTGCAGACCCACAGCGAGAGCCTTGATAGCAACCGAGGCATTGCACGGACAGGCGGGGTCCTCCTCCGCTGGGAAGCGGCCCCGCCTACAGACAGGCTGGGTTGAGCAGGTGTCCAGGAGATTGGAGGCCACCGCTCCTTGGAGCCCTGGGGCCCAGGGATGGTGCAGCGGGTTCCGGGGCTCTGCTGGCCAGAAAGCCTCTCGCAGCTCACCGTGGTCCGGCCCTGGCCTCCCATGGAGACTGAGTGTCCTCTCTGTGCAGGGTCTCACCGCCTACCACGACCTCTCCCTGGACAAGTGCTACATCATCGAGCTCAACACCACCGTTGTGCTGCCCCCGCGCAACTTCTGGGAGCTGCTCACGAACATGAAGGTGGGCGGGGCTCTGTCCTTGCCCCGGGAGAGCAGGCCCAGGCCTGGGGATGGGGACCTGGGCACGTCAGCAGGGCCTGCCCGAGTCCCCGGCTGAGAGGCGGGTGTGGGTGGGTGTTGGAAGCAGTGGCCAGGCCCTGGGTGCTGACCTGCGCTGTGACCGCTCCCTGTGCAGAGAGGGACCTACGTCCCGCAGACGTACATCACGCAGGAGGACATGGTGGTGAAGGAACCCATCAGTGACAAGGAGGCCCTAGGCTCCTTCATCTACCACCTGTGCAACGGGAAGGATACCTACCGGCTTCGGCGCCGAACCCCGCGGAGGCGTGAGTGCTGGCCCCGCCCTGGGCGCTGGGTCCCCACCGTCTAGCAGTGCCTGGTCCAGCTGTCCGAGAGCCCAAAGCTGCTTTGGTAACAACTCACGCTACTCCAGCACTTACAGCGTGCCAGGCGCTGCCTTACAGCCACCAACGATGGCCGATGGTGACAGTCATCATCACTGCCATTCTGGCTGTGCTTCGAAAGATGAGGAAACTGAGGCGTAGCGAGGTTAAGTAACAGCCCTAAGTCACACAGCGAGGAAGAGGCAGGTACAGGCAGTCTGACTGGGTTCTGGATGCTCATCTCTTCCCCTGTAGTGTGAATCCCACGTCACTTCCCGGGCTTCCCACCCTGCTAGCAAGGTCTTGAGGTCCCTGAGGTCCTTGGCAGGCTCAGAGGGAGACACCTTTCCAGGCCAGGACCCAGGGCTCACTGGGATGTTTTCTGTTTCCTCCCAGGAATCAACAAACGAGGGGCCCAGCAGTGCAATGCCATCCGCCACTTCGAGAACACCTTCGTGGTGGAGACCCTCATCTGCCAGGCAGTGTGAGCCCCGCCACCCTCTCCTCCGCCCCTCTGGCCGCTCTCTGGCCGCCCGCCCTCGCTTAGCTTGTACTGTGGACGCCTTCCCGTAGCTGTGACCTGTCCCCCCCTTTCCGGTCCTACCTGCCTGCCTGTACCAGGGCTGTGGCTGCTCCAGGCCCCGCCTCTGCTGACCTTGTGGCGTGTGGCGGAGGGGGGCGCCCCAAGACGGTTTCTGAGCCCCACTGTCTTCAAGTTGGACCCCTGTGTCCGGGCCGAGGTGCAGGATTAGAAGGCAGGGCGGGGGCATGGGGTTCAGAAGTCTGCGCAGGCAGGGAGGTCCACATGGCATTGGCCCTGGGTGGCACAGGTGCCCGGGCTGGGCGTGGGCGGAGGGTGGAGGGCGTGCCCGGGGTTGGACCCACCAGAGCACAAGGACCGTGGCTGTCCGGGGCCCCCGGGCCTCCCGTCAGTGCCTTCACCCCCCGCAGGAGCCAGGGTAGGGGTGAGAGGAGTCAGTCCAGCACGAGGTTCTCCGAGTGCAACCAAAGAACTGAGGGGCCGGCCCGCCCCTGGCTCCTGAGAGCACAGCGGGGTCCCCTCGGCAGGGAGGTTGCTTGTCCGTGGGCTGCAGCCCTACGGACAGGCGGGGTGTCGCTTCCCCAGCCCAGGCCTCTGGTAGCCGTGGAGGGCAGGGAGGCCGCCTGGTACCCGCACCCTGCCTCTCGCCCCTCCACAGGAGACTGCGACCTTTTCCTTTTCCTTTTCCTTCTCACTTTTGCATGTTTTTACTGAGGTTCCAGACGCTAACTGTCCTCGGCCCCAAGCCTGGGCGGGGCTCCGACCCCCGTCCCACTTGGGTGCTACCCAGAGAGGCAGCTTTTCAATGCTTTGTATATTTTCTCTATTAGATCTCTTTTCAGAAGTGTCTGTAGAAAATAAAAATCTTTTACTTCTGTCTGTGACGCCCATGTGGCAGGTCGGGGCGCCGGCGGGGCGGACGTCGCTGGGGACAAGAGGCAGGGAGAAGGCAGCGGACCTGGCACCTGGTCCCAAAAGAGGCCCAGGGGTCCCCTACGAGGTCTCCGGACCGCCTCTGAGCTAGTGGGGCTCAGGTTTCACAGGCGGGGAGGGGGAAGGGAGGAAAGTGTGCGGGACTGCAGCCTGGCCAAGGTCAAGCTGCTTTTAATGCCGTGAGCCGCAGCACGGAAGTCACAGCGCTCCTCCGTCCTTCAGCACAAGGACGGTGCCCGTGTCCTGATCTCCACGGCGCCTGGGCTGCGGGTACTGGTTCTTGGTGGAACTGGACCGCGGTTGGGCGTGGTGGCCTCAAGCTCACGCTCACAGCCTTCGTTCCAGCAGTAGGGAGGCTCAGGCAGGAGGATCCCTGTGAGTTTGAGGGCAGCCTGGGCTACACAGGTAAATGTGCAATCAATTCACATGCCAACAAGATTGGTTTTTTAACTTGGCACAGTCAGTTCTTGGGGAAAAGTAAATACAGGGACTAGCCGGGTGAGGTGAAGAGGTGCCCTTCAGGTGTCCTGCATGGTAAACTGCAGCAGGGAGGGTTGGGGGGGCGCGGGCAGGCGGCTCCGTGGTCAGGCACTCGCCCGGCAGGCATAAGGTCCCAGCGTCCATCCCCACGTGAGCATCACAAAGACTAAACAGCTTAGGGAAGGGGTTTAGAGTAGCAAAGGAAACGCTCAGCCGAGCGTGGTGGCACACCTATAATCCCAGCACTCGGGAGGCTGAGGCAGGAGGATCACTGTGAGTTCGAGGCCAACCTGGGCTGCAAAGTGAGCTCAAGGCCAGCCTGAACTGCATAGTGAGACCCTGTCTCAAAAAAAAGAAAAGGCAAAGGAAAAGCTCAATAGAGCAAAGTGGGAGCCCTGAAATTGCCTTAAATGACAGGGCTGTTCGACAGGATGCACGGTTAGAGTGGCATTTCAGCTTAGCGGCGCGTGCGGGCTATTGTTAATGGAACAGCTGACCAGCCTTTTTGACAAACCTGAATTCTACTTCCTTGTACAAAATGAGTGCCACATGGATGAAAAGTTTGAAATATGAAATGAAACCATAACAATATTTGAAGCTGAGCCAGCACTCAAGGCTGAGGCAGGAGGATCACTTGAACCCAGGAGTTCTTGGCCAGCCTGGCAAACAGCAAGACCCAGTCTCAAAAAAAAGTATTTGAAAGAAAGATGACTTAATCTTGGAGGAGAAATGGCCTTTTTTTTTTTTTTTTTTGTCTTTTTGAAACAGGGTTTCCTTGTGCAGTTCAGGCTGGCTTGAACTCACTTTGTGGCCCAGGCTGGCCTCAAACTCAGAGATCCTCCTGCCTCAGCCACCTCAGTGCTGAGATTACAGATGTGCACCACCATGCCCAGCAGCCTTTTTAAACATGATACTCACCAAGTTAGAATTTATAGTTGGGCATAGTGGCACACATCTGTAATCCCAGCACTCGGCAGGCTGAGGCAGGAAGATTGTTGCGAGTTCAAGACCAGCCTGGACTACAGAGTGAGCTCAAGGCCGGCCTGAACTGCACGGGGAGACTCGTTTCAAAAAGACAGAAAAAAAAAAAAAAAGCTAGAATTTATAGATGAAAAGTTAAAATTACAATATAGCAAAATGTGCCATGAGGCTAAAAAGTTTGTAAATGGGAAACTGGGGGAGATGATTTTCAGACATGACATTAGAAAGGCCATTTTCCTCCAAATGGAAAGTTTTTATAAATCATCATGAAAAATGAATAACCCAGTAGATCAGTGGGCAAAGACTATTAACAGACCGCAGAATATAAGAATAAGAAATAGAAGTGGACAGATAATTACACATGAAACGTTTATAATTATAAAAACATATAAATCAAAACTAGGAGATGGGCGTGGTGGTGCACGCCTGTAATCCCAGCACTCAGCAGGCTGAGGCAGGAGGATCGTTGCAAGTTTGAGACCAGCCTGGGCTACAAAGTGAGCTCAAGGCCTGCATATTGAGACCCTGTCTCAAAAAGACAAAAAAAAAAAAAAAAAGGAAGCAAAACTAGGAGATTACATCTTTACACGTCAGGTGAGGGCTGTTAGGGCTTTTTCTTTCTGTTGTAAAGCATTTATTATGCCCACGATGCCATAAGTAGCGTGCTGTGAAGGTACGGTAAGTTCTGAAGTGTGAAGACTCGCGTATGTCTGGAAACCCACCAGCCAACTTACGGATGAGCCTGCTCACACCACCCTGAGCTTCGTGGTCCAGCAGCACTTAATTTTCCTGGTTCTGTGGCTGGCGGATCTGCTGCTCCAAGGGTAAGTTCCTTGCTTTGCTTTCAGCCAGGAACTGGCTGGGGCTGGGGACCCAGAAGGACTCAGCCTCCAAGGGCTTGGACCCACGCGGCCTGGAGTCACCCGCAGTTGGCACTGGTGCCCTGAACTGAGCTCCAGTTGTGGGGAAGCAGAAGCTGCCAGTCCTTGAAGGTCTGGAATTGGAACTCCCAGCATGTCCCTGGGTTGCATTCTGATGATCAAAGTGAGTCACAAAACCAGCTCAGATTCGAGAGGAAGCTGTGGGTCACGCATGCTCGGGCACACTCGGGATTGCTGGCAGCCCATGTTTGGAGACTTCAGTATCACCCCAACCTCTGCCCTCCATCTCCGCCCTTCAATGGCCTGGAAAGGCTGGTCACAAGACCTGGATTGAGACAAAGACACTTGTTCTTAGACCCAAAGACAACCTTGATCCTGTAATCCTAGCACTCAGGAAGCTGAGGCGGGAGGATCACCATGAGTTTGAGGCTAGCCTGGGCTACATAGTTCAAGCCAGCCTGAACTACATATGAAGACCCTGTCTCAAAAAACAAAGACAACTTTTTGTTTTTTTTTTTTTTTGGTTTTTCTCCGGTACCGGGAACCAAACTCACGACCTTGCGCTTGCCAGGCAGGCGCTTTGCCGCTGAGCTAAATCCCCAGCCCCTTACAAAGACAACTTTAACGATAATGTCAGTGTCTCACATACTGATCAATCTTATATCCACTGGCCAATCCGCATATTCTTATCCTTTTTGAGATTATTCGTAAGTGTGTGCCATATGTAAAACCCCAAATACAGTTTTGCTTGGACTTCAGTATAAAATGGTGAGAAAATGCTGTATATAATTTTATTCTTTGACTTGCTCTTCTCCCTCAATCTTTTTTTTTTTTCTTTTTGTCTTTTTGAGACAGGGTCTTGCTATGCCGTTCAGGCTGGCCTTAAGCTCACTTTGTAGCTCAGGCTGGTGTCGAATTTGCAGCAATCCTCCTGCCTCAGCCTCCCAAGAGCTGGGATTATAGGCGTGCGCCACCACACCCGGCTTCCCTCGATCTTATATGTCTAAAATCCATCTTTGTTGATGCATAACAGCCCATTAAATGAATACACAACTGGATTGGCCATTAAACAATGACGATTTGGGTTCTTTCTGCTCTTTTTTTGAGACAGGGTCTCGCTATGTGGCCCAGGCTGGCCTCAAACTCAGGGCAGCCCTCCTCTCTCAGCCTCCCAAGTGCTGGGATTACAGGCATGGGCTCTTTCTGAATTCTTAAAATTACAATCCCTTTCAAACGTTTTTTATGGGACTTCAGGTGCACCTGGGCAAGAGTTCCTCTCACTGCACACCCAGAAGTGGCACCGCTAGCTCACACAGTGCAAATGTGCAACTGACGAAATTCTGCCAGATGGGCAGCTGAGCCCCCCTGCACGGCACAGACGTCATCCTCCGCCCACATCCTTTCTACGCTTCATGCTCCCCGTGCTTATGAGGGTTTGCCAGTGGGTAGGGAGTACAATGATGTAGTCAGGGTTTACAAGGGAAAAGATGTAATACAAGACACGTAATTTGTAGGATTACTTTATAATAGTCACCCAAAGAGTCAAATGCAGAAGAGTACAAGAGATCTGTCCACATGCTAGAGACCCAGAGAATCCAGCTGAGGGCCTGGGTCCCATGGCAGTGTCCTGCACGAGTCCAACTGCAGGTCTAGAGCCCACAGCAGTGTCTCATGCAAGCCTGTATCGAGGATTCGCAGACCGGGGATTTAGCTCAGCAGCACAGCACTTTGCTTGGCAAGCACAAGGTCCTGAGTTTGACTCCTGGTACCAAAAATTTTTAAAAAGGCCAGGCAGGAGCTGGGGATTTAGCTCAGCGGCAAAGCGCCTGCCTGGCAAGCGCAAGGTCGTGAGTTCGGTTCCCGGTACCGGAGAAAAACCAAAAAAAAAAAGAAGGCCAGGCATGGTGGCGCACACCTGTAATCCCAACACTCAGGAGGCTGAGGCAGGAGGATCACTGCAGACCAGCCTGGGCTACAAAGTGAGCTCAAGGCCAGCCTGAACTGCATGGTGAGACCCTGTCTCAAAAATATAGAAACGAAACAAGGGTCCACACTGGGAAGACCCAAAGGTCAGTAGTGGAAGCTAGAAAGTCTTTGCCAGTGGGGTAAAAGATCTGTGCCAGCAATGCTCAGGGTAGGACCAGAGCTCTCCCAAAGAGAACCTGAGCCATCCTTAGGGACAGCAAGGGGCCATCTCCTCGGACAATGAGTTCATATCAGGAGAGCCAGCGCAACAAGCCTCTCCAGGAGGATCAGCACCTGCCCCTCCGCTTCTGCTTCTGTGCTGTTGGCGGTGATCCTCAGGTGCATCTTCCGCACCCAGAACCACGCTGATTCAGTTCAGCTGAGTCTTACAAGTTGCGCATTAGTTAATCCACCACAAATGGTGCTTCATTATGGATTACATTTCATCTCTCTGATTAATAGGAACGAGGGGCAGCTTTCATGCGATTACCGAACCTTCCATGGCTCTCTGTGGTTTTCGCCTTTTTACAGCTCCTTTGCTGTAATTTGAAGGTGTTCTTTGTCCACTTTGCATTTTATATTTTGTCAGTTTTTCTCTCGCAGCACCATGTCTATTCTTGTCCCTTTGTTCAGACACAT